TGTGATACAGATGTGAAAACAGATGTTACGTGTTCATATCTTAAATTCACCTTTTATCATCTAGATAAAATATCTGTTTTTATTTGTAGGATGTTTTTAGGGAAGAATCCAGTTGAACTAAAGTTAAACCAGAGTTTAACCTTGTTTCCGTGTGAGCTCATCAAACTTATTTTCTGCTGTTTTACTTTAACATCACTAGTTTTTCTCTTCTCTCCCCAAAACACAGTTTCTGTTAAAAGTCAAATTAAGTTTAATGAAAATCTTAAAGTCTGTTTTTACGTTTGCTTTGTTTTCAGTTCAGGTGAAAATCATCAGATGAATCATTTCTTTAAAAAAAATCTCGACTCAGTTTAATTTACGTTTGTTTTTCCTCAAAGTCTGTTGGAGAAGATCGAGCAGGAGACGTGGAGGGAGACGGGCGTTTCCTTCGTTACCTCCGTCACACGGCTGATGGAGCGACTGCTGGACTACAGGTAACACACACACACAAACACACACACACACACACAGTCACTCTCCCTGCTCACTGGACATGTGTAAGATCCTGAGGTTTTAATGACTAGTGATGACAAACCTTTCCATCAGAGTGCAGCCTCACTCAGAGTCAGTGTCAAACTAACGCTCCTTAGAGGCCAAACGTTTCGCTTCTCATCCAGGAGGCGTCTTCAGGTCAGTTTGTCGTCTGAGGGGCTCCGAAGAAAACCTCCAGAACGTGTGTCTGCGTTTTATGGAAACTGTGAGAAAAACCCAGAGCTGAGTCTCGAGGACTTCAAGTGTGTCGTTGTTTCTTCCCTTCCTCTCTTTCTTCTTCAGGGACTGTATGAAGGGAGACGAGACGGAGAACAAGAAGATCGGCTGCACCGTGAACCTGCTGGTAAGAACAAGTTTCCATCATGTTCAGAAAGTTTGATGGAAATCTTCAGTTTAAAAAAAACTCATGGAAACTCTTGTGCTTCGTGTCAGAACTTCTACAAGTCAGAGATCAACAAGGAGGAGATGTACATCCGCTACATCCACAAACTGTGTGATATGCATCTACAGGCCGAGAACTACACAGGTACAGCACACACAATCACACACACACACACACACACACACACGGTGTTTATGACTGTGCACGTTGGTTGTGTGTTCACAGAGGCTGCGTTCACTCTGCTGTTGTACTGGGAGCTGCTGCACTGGGACGAGCGGCCGCTGAAAGACTTCCTGCACTACTCTGCTCAGACAGAGTGGCACCGCAAGGAGGCGCTCTGTCGCAAGGTCATCCACTACTTCAACAAGGGAAAGGTACACACACACACACACACACTCACACCCACACACACACACACACTCTCAAACAAGCAGGAGCAGAAGAGAAAGAAAACATTGTGAGCGCCATGTGTTGTTTGAAATCACACTAATGAAATCTGTGTGTGTGTGTGTGTGTGTGTGTGTGTGTGTGTGCTCCAGTGCTGGGAGTACGGGATCCCTCTTTGCAGGGAGCTGGCCTTCCAGTATGAATCTCTGTACGACTACCAGAGTCTGAGCTGGATACGGGTGAGCGGCTGCACCACGAGCTTTCATTGTTCAGTGACTCATCAACACAACACGTTTCCTGTTTCCGTCTGTTTGTCTCTGAAAACGACTTCCTGATCGAACTGTGCCGTCCTGCTGAGATGACGATTGCTATCATGTATTTTTTGACGTAAACACAACAGACACAATAAACCACAGACTGTGAATAAAGAAAGACAGCGTGTCTCCACTTCCTCCAGAAATTAAGCCGAAATATCTTGTGCTGATGACGTCATCAATTCATGACCCCTTTGTGTGTGTGTGTGTGTGTGTGTGTGTGTGTGTAGAAAATGGAGGCAGCGTATTATGACAACATTATGGAGCAGCAGCGTCTGGAGCCCGAGTTCTTCAGGGTGGGATTCTACGGCAGGAAGTTCCCCTTCTTCCTCAGGGTGAGTTCCATGTTTGTTTTTCTAATATATAAGTTTTTCCTCAAATGATAAAAGTATGATTTTCACCGTGTGAGTCCAGTCAAGCATTTTATTCTCTCACATGTCGACTTTGATCTCTCCAGAATAAAGAGTTTGTGTGTCGCGGTCATGACTACGAAAGGTTAGAGGCCTTCCAGCAAAGGATGCTGGGAGAATTCCCGCAAGCCATTGCAATGCAGCATCCCAATCAGCCAGATGAGGCCATTCTGCAGTGCGACGCACAGTGTATCCTTCAGAGAACTGAAGTCTGAGTGATTGGGTTTCCTGCAGCTGGAACTTCGTTTGTAGTTGTTTCTACGTCCTCCATGTTGTCCGTCGGCTCTTTAACCTCCTGGCCTCAGACCTCCAGATCTACGCCGTGACCCCGGTACCAGACGGCGTCACCGTGCTGCAAATGGACAGAGTACCGGACCGCATCAAGAGCTTCTACAGGGTCAACAACGTTCGGCGTTTCCGTTACGACCGGCCGTTCCACAAAGGACCCAAAGACCGAGACAACGAGTTCAAGGTGAGCAGGAAGTAGTTCTCGCGCTGTTTCCTGCAGATTTCTGCTGAATTTTCTCACATTTTGTTGACTTGTGTGTTTTTTTCATACAACGATGTTCAAAACCCAGAGAAATCCACAGCCGCTCGCCCTGCCCTTATTGTTGTTGCCTAGCAACAGAGCTGACGTTTCCGGCGCTGTTACATCTTTAAAAATGGTTTGTCGGTGAAGCACAATGAATGCTGGGATATCTTGGTGCCTTCGTTTTGAAATGGGAAAGCGTGGTCTCGCCGCTGTGATGCAGTCTGTCTTCAAATACAGCCTCCGAGTCCACGTCCATCTTCACGTAATTTAACATTTGATGGTTTGAACCCGGGAACCTCCTTGCTGTGAGGCGACAGTGAGGTGCTAACCACTGCACCACCGCGCCACCTAGAATAGATGCTTTGTGAGCTCAGAGCTGCTGATGTTCAGACCAAAGGTGTCGTGGGTTCAGGATTCTCTGTGTTTCAGAGTCTCTGGATCGAGAGGACCACCCTGATCCTCACGCACCCTCTGCCTGGAATCTCTCGCTGGTTTGAGGTGGAGAAGCGAGAGCTGGTGAGTGAATTGTGAAATGTGTTTGACAGTAAATGAAATGCTGGTGAAAGCTCGCAGCGTTTGAGACGATGTGTGAAACCACAAAAGGAAATAAGTTGAATGTCACTCAGACGTCTGCCAAGAAACCAAAAGTCTGAAAGTCAATCATTCTCTCTAAATATCTAAATATGAATCATCAAGATTCATGAATTATTCTCAGAGAGAACGAGTTTCTTGTTAATGAAAGAGATAAAAGTTCCTGGATCCAGATCTGCAGGCAACACAGTTTCATCCCCCTGTAGAGTGAGAATGTGAATTATTTGTTCCAGGTGGAGGTGAGTCCGTTGGAAAACGCCGTCTCTGTGGTGGAGAACAAGAACCAGGAGCTGCGGACTCTGATCAGTCAGTACCAGCACAAGCAGCTGCACGGCAACATCAACCTGCTCAGCATGACCCTGAACGGAGTCATCGACGCTGCCGTCAACGGAGGCATCGCCAGATACCAAGAGGTCGGACTGAGGAAATGTTAAACATCATGTCTGAAGATACAAACCTGTGATTGCTATCTTCCACCTGGAGGAATCATACAACTATTTAAACTGTTATCAACACTCTGTGTGAGACGTTATTCATTTATTTATCTACCTCTGTGTCATCACACTGGATTTCTTTTATAACGGCCTCAACAGATCACAGCTAGCATTAGCACAGGGCTAAGTGACGCTGTCATCGCTGCTTGATAATAACATTCAGAGAGTAATATATAATAATAAAAGCATTAAGTATTTAAAATGCATGACTTTCCCCAAACCTTTCTTTGTGCCCAGGCTTTCTTTGATAAGGAATACATCACCAGCCACCCGGAGGACACGGAGAAGATCACGCAGCTCAAAGACCTGATGCAGGAGCAGGTGAGTTCCTCCCTCCATAAAAGATTTAGCCTCGATATCGGTTTGTGTTGTGAACGTAAGGCGGATCCAGGATTTGTTGGCGGCTGCTCTACTCGCCAGAGTCGACAGATTTAATCATTTCAACATGCTGCGTATTCTGTAAATAAAACGATGGATGAAGATGATTTATTCTTTTATTGCATTTGTTTTTTCATCCATATCAGTGACGGAGACTTAACCTTGATCTTCTGTTACAGTCATGGTTGTGACGAGAGGTTTTATCCATTCTCATATCAAACATTAACAGCTCTGCTTTAGTCTCCTCTGCTGACGCCGCTCGAACGTTGGCCTCACATCTCTCTGCAGCTCTGAAATCACAACTTCAATCTCTGACTTTGTAAAATTCACTTTGCAGGAGACAGAAGCTTTTGTCGTGTTCGTATAAACTCAGGGAAATAATCCAAACACGTTCTTGTATGAGGCTCAATGTTTCATCCTCATCCTGTAATCAACGTGCTGAATTTCAAAAGAGCACAACTTTTTCTGTGGCAGGAAAAGTCACCAACATGTGGATGCTGAGAACACAGAGAGAGCTCAGGGTTTCTTCACACTCTGAACGTGATGCTTCATGGTTTCCCTCAGGTTCACATCCTCGGAGTCGGCCTGGCAGTGCACGAGAAGCTGGTGCACCCAGAAATGCGGCCGCTGCACAAAAAGCTGATCGATCAGTTCCAGATGATGAGGAGCAGCCTCTGCCACGTGAGTGCACGCAACTTTGGTTCCAACGTTTCAGTCTCGTCGGTTTGAACGCTCCTGACGTGAGTGCGAGCGGAGTGAATATTCAGAGCAGTGTTTCTATGTGGCGCTGCAGGGTCTCCCTGGTTTGGACAAGGCCGGCTCAGGAGCCAACACTCCCAGAGGGATCCTGACCTCACACAGCCCCCTGAGCCCCGAGAGCTTCAAACTCATGCACCGGCACAGGTCCGCCACACACACACACACACTCACACACACACACACACACACTCATCCACTCACAGTGTCACATGTTCTCACACTTTCTCTCACCGGCGTCTTTATGTCTCTTCACGACACTGATTCCATCTCATTGACGACTTTGTTTAACACACTGAACTTTACCTTCTTTCTCACTTCATCTCTGTTTCTTCTTCACATCACACTTTCTGAAATTCTTCCATTCCCTCTCTCTCTCTCTCTCTCTCCTCCCATCATCACCCTGTGTCTCTCTTCTTACATCGTCTTGCTTTAAACTCCTGCATCTCTCCTTCCCACCGAATCACTTCATGCATGTTGCGGTTGCTGGTTTGCGTTTTTCTTTTTGGATGCACTCTGCACGGCTCCTCGCTTGGTCCTTCTCCTCCCTTCTTCTTCTCCTCCCTCCTTCCTCTCCTCTCCTCCCTCCTTTGTTGCGACCTCCCAGCCCCATAGCTGTTTTGACTCCAGTGCGCAACTCCTCCTCCTCTCTCTCCTCCCACAACTCCAGTGAGATGGGGAACGTTGGCAATCTGCTGATCCTGGCCGATGGGATGGTGGTGGAGCACCCAGAGGACTTCTACCGTATGCAGGTGAGTCCATGTCGGAGCAACCTGCAGGAGACGAGTCCAAGATACTGCAGGAATTCATCAACTGTGTCGTTCAGATGTTTTTACATCTACAGTCAGGTGGTATGAGATTTCTATGCTGCAGCCAGAGGCATTATGTTTTCATATTGTTTGGCCGTCCTATAGTTGTGAACACGATATCTCAAGAACGCTTTCGAGAGAATTTCTTCAACTTTGCTTAAAATGTTGAGTTGGACTCAAGAATAAACTGATTTGATTTTGATGGTCAAAGGTCAATGTCACTGTGACCTCACAGATCAAATTTCTTTGCCTTGTGGAAACGATATGTCAGGAATACCTGCAGAGAATCCTTCAAAATTTAGTACAAACCTTCACTTGGACTCCTGGATTGAACAGATGAAAATCCAGGGGTCAAAGGTCACACACACACACACAGCTACACACAATAAAACACATTTGAATATTGTCTTAAAGACGATGAGCTGCATTTTGACACTTGAATATTTTAGTTTGCTCTCGTTCTTTCGTAATAAGTCTGTCACTCTTTTCACTACATTCATTTATGTTTCTCCTTCACAGGCAAGCCCCTCCTCCTCTAGCCTTAGCTCCACCCACTCTGCACCCTCTCAGATGATACACTCCGCCCCCTCCACCATCAGAGGTGAGCACCGCCCACGGTTACAATGTGGAGGAATATTTTCTCCGTTTACGCGAAACATTCTGAGAATTCATTTTCAGTTTTTCAGACACTTGTCCTCGTTAATATTTTTCTGTTGTCTCTTCCCTCCTGTGTGTCCCCCTTTGTGTCCTCCTGTGTGTCCCCCTGTGTGTCCCCCTGTGTGTCCCCCTGTGTGTCCTCCTGCAGTCGGTTCTCCTTCTCTGCCGGACAAATACAGACACAACAGAGAGATGCTGATGCTGCTGCCGCCGCACAGAGAGCGGCCGAGCAGCGCCATGTACACCAACATCACAGAGAACGGCCAGGTACTGAGAAACAGATGACATGAAGTGGGAGGTTAAAACAAAACATGGGGGATTTTCACTTGATCCACTGATTCATGTGGAACTGGTCACGGACTTGTGATTGACAGCAGACTCCTCAGGTTTACATGGACACAAACACACACGTCATTCTGACCAGTCGTCACTTGAACTCAAAGATGAACTGATTGGATTTCAGAGGTCAGAGGTCACATAGTCGTCATGAGTCTGGAGAACAAATGTTTGTGGACACAAACTTAATTCTGGTTCTCTCTCTCTCTCTCTCTCTCTCTCTCTCTCTCTCTTCAGCCAGCCAACTTCCAGCGGGCGTTGTTCCATCAGGTGATCGGTCCGTGTAAACCCTGCAGCGACCCCAACCTCTCCGTGGCTGAGAAAGGTAGAAGAGCTCAAGCTCTCACACGGACGAGCACGAGATTCTATTCAAAAGAAGAAACATGTATTCATTCTTTCTCTCTTTCTTCTACACCTCTTTGTTCTCTCCTCTTCCTCTCTCCCTTGTTTTTGTCTTATCCTTTCATCTCTTCTGCATTCATTGTAACTTCCCCTCGTCCCCTCTCTCCTCCACTCTTCTTTCCTCTCCTCTTCCTCTCTCCCTTGTTTCTGTCTCATCTCTTCTTCATTTATTGTAACCTCCCCTCGTCTCCTCTCCTCTCTCCTCTTCCTTGCTCCCTTGTTTCTGTTTTATTCCTTCTTCAATCATTGTAACCTCCCCTCGTCTCCTCTCCTCCACTCTTCTTTCCTCTCCTCTCTCCTCTCCTCTCTCCCTTGTTTTTGTCTTATCCTTTCATCTCTTCTTCATTCATTGCAACCTCCTCTCCTCTCTCCTCCCTCCTCCCCTCCCCTCCTCTCTCCCCTAGTCCTCACCACCCCCAGTAGTTGGAGTTTGGACAGTGGCACCAGAGACGCTCTCCCCTTCCTCTCTGCCCACGTTGGCAGTGTCATGGCGCCTCCTGTTCCCCCGAGAAACCTGCCTCACGGTATGATACTACTGCGTGTGTGCGTGTGTGTGTGTGTGTGTGAGTGTGTGTGAGTGTGTGTGTGTCTCATCATCTTAAAGCAGCAGCTTGATTAAAGTGAGTCTGATGTTTGACCGTCACAATCAGCTCCAGTTGAAGAGTGAAGCTGATCTGAGATCAGTTCAAAACACTGAGAAGTTATTAACAACCAGAGTTTATCTCCGATGTTCAGCAGGAAACTTTAAAACCAGAACTCTGAACAAAGTTTGGTGGATGTTTTACAGCAGCAGCTCTTCTGGTTCAGGAAGCAGAGGATCATGGGTAATATCCAGCATTCAGATGTGTTTCCGCTCAGTGGGAGGAGTCAGAGCTCAACTCACTGACGTTGTTTTATCTTCACATGAAAACCTCGACATCGCTCAGATATAAAGATGGACGACATGCACCAAACTATAACTCAAAGTTAAATAAAAGTTTGTCAGAGATGTTTCAGCTCGTTCTTGGTTTGAATCAGTTATTTGATGATATAAAAACAGGCGGGGACGTCGTGATTGACAGCTGACACTGACTCCTGATTGGTTGAGTGCTTCTGTTTGGACTTTGATTCCTGGGCTGCGTCCTGCGATCACTACGACTCCGACTCGTTGACCTGAGATATTTTAGCGTCTCTGGAGAAGGAAGTGGAGACGTGTCGTCCATCTTTGTTCACAGTCTTTGCTCCACGTCTCTGGCTGCGATTTGATCCTTTAACGTTTCTGTTGTTTTTTTTTTTTTTTAAAAGCTGAAAATAAAAAACAAACTGGATTTTTCAGGATTTCAGAGGCTTTTTAGACCCCC